CCCTCCCTCCCTTTCTTTCTTTCTCTCCTCCTTGCTCTCTTTTCTTTGCCTCAGCTGCGGGCCGAGGGGGCGGGCCCTGCAGCCTTTGTTGCCCGCGGATCTAGCGCAGCCGCCCGCCGGGCCAGAGTACGCCGGGAGCTGCACGCGGCCGGGCATGTCTTGAGCCGAACCCAGGACCGGGCAGCGATCAGACGGAACGGACGAGGGTGTGCGCACGGGGTCACCCGGCGGCCGCCCGGCTCCGGCCATGCCCGGCGGCTTGAGTCCCCGCAGCAGCCCTGCGCCGCTGCTGCGCCCCCTCCTCTTGCTGCTCTGCGCTCTGGCGTCCGGCGCTCTTGGACCCGCACCAGGTTGGTGGCTGCCCTTCCTCGGCCGGCCCTGCCGGCCCTCCCCGTTCCCCCACCCGCAGTTTACCCCTTCTCACCTCTGCAGACCCCTCGCCGGCCCTCTAATGTTAGGAAGTTAGGGACAGGGGTGAGGTCGGGGGAGCGAAACCGCGCCGCCGGGGCGCCTTCCCTAGCCCCCGACTCCACTGTTGACCCTTCACGTATCCATGAATAGCCCCTTCCGCTCTTCAGACCTCGGTTTCCACACTTCGGGTGCAGTAACGCGCGCCTCTCCGGGGGTGTTCTCGTCCTAGGGGCTGGACGGAGCGCGGCTTCTCACCCTACTCAGCGTGCCTCGTTTGGAAAGCGGCCTGGCCAGGACGCTGAGGGTGAGGGCGCCAGGTTGCAGGTCTATGCGGGTCCCCCGCCGCGTCCCCGGCGCCCAGCTGCGATCGGGACCCCCGCCCACCGTAGCCTGGCTGCGGGCCCGCGCTCGGGGGCGCCGGGGGCTGGGTCTCGCTCGGCCCTGCACTTCCTGCCTCCGCCTCCCCCTCCCCCAAGTGTGAAGGCGCGGAGAGTGGAGCAGGGAGCGGGAGCTTCTTTCCCTGGCTCTCGGCTAGACTCTCCCCTCCCCGCCTGGCCGGCCGGCCTCGGACGAGTCTCTGGCGCGCGTCTAGATTTTCGCTCCGCTGCCGCCGGCCGGGCCGCTGCGCTCCTGGCGCGTCCGGGGCAGCTGGCCTGGGAATTTAGGAGCCCATGGTGTATAAGACCCCTGGTTGGCTCTCAGAGGACTCCACTTGTGATGGGGGCCGGTCCTATAGTGGTGAGAGCCGTGCAGGCGGGGCGATCGAGAAGACTTTGTAGAGGAGGAGGGGCCTGAGACTGGAGTGACTGGAAGGTTGGATGGGCTTTGGATAGGTTGGAAGGGGTGTGGAGGGGGCAAGGGGCGTCCCGCGGGACTTATAAGGCTGTGTGGGGGTGAATGGGGGCGACCTGCCTCCCCAGTAGAGGGATTGTGGATGTGAAGTTAGAAAATCTATGGGGCGTAATGTAGGCGGTATTTAAACCAGATCTTAGAGATTTGGGGAGCCGTTGAAGGGAGTAGTGTGTTGAAAGCAGTGTTTCAGCTCCCTAAACAGTCAGTCTGGAGGGAGTGGAGAGGGAGCAAACATTTAATGAACACCTAGTGTGTGCCCGGAGTCCCTGAGTGGTGCAAATGGTTAATGCTCCCAGCTGTTAACAGAAAGGTTGGAAGTTAGAGTTGGAAGAAAGGCCTGGCGATCTATTTCCAAAACACCAGCCATTGAAAACCCTGTGGAGTATAGTTCTATTCTGACTGCGTAGCGCCCCATGAGTTGGGGTCCACTTTATGGGCAACTGGTGTTCTTACTATGTGCCAACCTCACTGCGTACTTTCTTATTTCTCATCATTTCCATAACAACCCTGCAAGGCAGGTGATGGAAAGCCCTTTTATGGGTAGGGAAACATGCTCAGAGAAGAGAATGACCTGCTAGGTCTGCATTCCAGGGCTACCTGCTTGAAACCTGTGTTTACTCTACTGCCTAGAGCTGGGGGCCTATGAGGATGAAGTGGGGGTGAGGGGCAGGAAAGTGATTCCTTGAGAGAACTGCCCCTGAGCCTGAACTTGAGTCTAGGGCCTCTGGCTGCTGTGGAAGCCTCTCTGCTTCCACTGCAGGCCAGACCTGTGTATGAACTTGAAAAACCTCCTGCCCCTCTAGGACCTCAGTTTGCCCACTTGTTAAATGGGAATAACAATACTATCTACCGCACAGAGTTCTTGTGGGGATTAAATGAGATACTGAATGTCAGTTACTTAGCTCCGGGCAGAGTGATCACCATGTGGTGGTCATTTTTATTTATCTGCCAGGTCATCACCGTAGGATTAAGAAATCCTTCGTGAACCCTGCAACTTTGACCTGCAGTCACCCCCTCCAATCTAATTTTGGGACCCCCTCATCAGGGCAGGGTGTCTGTTTCTAGTATCCCCAGAGTTGCATAGCCTGGGGCCCTCTTCCTTTTGCTCTCAGGATCTCCCACTGAAAGGCTACTGAGCTCTGTGTCATTTTCTTTGCAGCTGCCCCAGCTGCCTGGGGTTCTGCCCAACAAGACCAAAGGACACACCCTAGGTCATTTTAAGGAAATTGTATCCTGACTTCTTCTCCACCTGTGACAAACCTAGGGACTTGATGGGGTTACTGGGATTGGGTCCCAGCCCCTGGTCCCCCCACCACACTGAATTGCCCATGTGGGCCCTGCATACGTGCACATATTATGTGTATCGAGCACGTGCCTGCAGACTCATGGAGGGGGCATGTGTCACACATACACCTACCCTGGTTATTTTTCCTCCTTGGCATGAGCTGCAGGTCATTTGAAGGGCTGGATTGTAACTCAGGTTCTTGATAGGGAGGTGAGGGTAAACACCACTTTGGCATTTCTCTGGTGGAATCTCTGCAGTGACAGTTCTGTCACCCAGGAGTGATAGTCAAAGTATTTAACACCCAGTGTGGCAGGAACTTGGTCCAGTCAGAACAGATCTCCTGACTTGGTGGAACAGACCGAACCGTGAGCAATAATTGGCACTCCAGCCCAGTGTCTCTGCTGCCATCCCACCGTAGGTTCAGCCCTGCAGGCTCAACTCTGATGCAGGTACTTATCAGTGACTGGAACCTGCAATTTTCCCTTGCTGGCACTAGGTGGTGGTAGTTTTGGCCACCAAGATCTCTCCCAGAGGTCAGCTCTAGGAGAAATTGAGAGAAAGAGTTGTTTACTTTTAATTCACCCTGCCCTCCTTTAAAAATATCTTAATGGCAAAACAATACACATTCATTATTAAAAACAAAAACAAAAAAGAAAGTAGAACAAAACAAGAAGATAAAAGTTGTTGTGATAAAAGTGGTAACATCCAATAATTCTTTATTTTTTTCCTTTTGACTAAAAAATATATTAGGCCATTAGGCAAAGAGATAAAACAACAAGTTTTAAAAGAAATGGCTAAGTATACTTTAGAACTTCTCTTGCTGATTTTCAATCATAGCTCACATTTGGTATGAGCCAGCTACTGATCCTAAACACTTAAATTTTAACTGATTAATTCTCTCACATCCTAAGAGGCTAGGACCAATTACCATCATCCTCATTTTACAGATGGAGAAACTGAGGCTCTGGGTGGTTGAGAAATTTACTTGTGGTCTTATAGCGATGGATGGCCAAGCTGGGATTCAAACCTAGGCAGTCTGGTTCTATACTGCACTGGTCCTAATGCCTTTTACCTGCAACATAGCTCTACTTAGCCTCATTCATATTTTTTGACTTACTATGATGCTTCCTTGTAACGCATCTCGAGTTTCTGTCTTGCAGTATTTACCCGTAGTCTGAACAGGGATTCTCAACAGGGCTACACATCCCTGAGGGCATAGATCCCTCCCCAGGGACACTTTTTGAAGCTTTTGGGACAAAGTCTCCCCAGTGGCTCAGTTTCCCGGGACAAATAAGTACCCTCCTCCCTGCACCGCATGTGTTTGAGGATGCTGCTATGGCACATGGGGAAATGCGCCATGTGGCTCATACTCCTCCAGTACATTGAGAACTTGGGGCTGGTTGGCATCAGTGCCCTTGGGTATGAGTGTCCACAGCCTGGGAATGGCTGGTAAATACTCATTTAAAACAAAGTCTTGGAGTGTAGCTGATGTCATATTCTCCATCTCCATCATTTTCATCGCCTCAGCCCAGCTTTTCCTCCTTATGTTTTCTGACCTGGATTCTCCGGGCAGATGAGGAAACCGAGGGTCAGAGAGATGAAGTGACTGGTTAGGTCACACAGCTATTAATGGCTGAATTGGGACTTAAACCTGGTTCTTTCGGCTTTCAAAGCCCACACTGTTGACGATGATTTATTTTTGCCATTCTATTGTCTCATTTCCCAAAACTCATGCCTAGGCCAGGCTTATCTTCTTCCTGTCCCCTGACTCCTAGCTTTTCCCCACTTCTCTGGCTTTGCTCACATGGCATCTACCAGCAGGATGACCTCATCTCCATGGTTGAATTTGTACCTGTACATCAAGGAAAAGGAGCCCTGGTGGCGCAATGGTTAAGTGTTTGGCTGCTTACCGAAAGGTCAACAGTTAGAACCCACCAGTGACTACACAGGAGAAAAGACCTGGAGATATGCTCCCATAAAGATTACAGCCTAGGAAACCCTATGGGGCAGTTCTACTCTATCCTATAGGGTCGCTATGAGTCAGAATTGACTAGACGGGACACAACAATAGCAATAACACATCAAGGAACATCTCAGATGGGCCGTCTTTGATGAAGGCTTTCTTTACCCCAGTCCATTCAACAGGTGTCCTTTCCCCTTGCTTGGACCTCCCCAGCACTGTGTTAGGGGTGGGAGTCAAGGGTGTCCACACTCACTTCTCTAACTGATCTATTTTGAGTGCAAGGATGATGTACATTTTCCTGGACTTTGGAAAACATAGCACTCCCTCACAATTAGTAGCCAAGCGTCACCAAATGACCATGCGGACCAGGCAGGTAACATAAATGAGCAAACGAGCCTGGTGGGGAGACACGTTTTCTGGAAATGTGGGGCCTCTTGGCCCATCTCTTATTCTCCCATTTTTTTTTAGAGACTCACTTCTTTACTGAGTGAAAGATAACACAAGCACAACATCAAAGGGCAACTTAAATCCAGCCACAGTGTTAGGGACACAGTGGGGAGGGGTGAGGACTGAGGCCGATGGGAGACACAGGCCCTCTCTGAAGGGGCAGTGACCGTTCAGCTCCAGCCACTTCTGCCAGGTAGGAATGTAGGCCTGACATGGATGGATATTAAGTCTTTTCAAGAAAAGTTAAAAATTAAGGTTTTGTGCAAGATCATCTGATTTTTCAGCATTGCCAACTGACTAAAACACTTTTAGATATTTCTGCCAGCCAAAACAAACTGAAAAAAAAAAACAACAACAACAAATTGACAAATAAAAAATTTGCAGGCTGTGGTTGTGGGGTTGCAATCCCAAATGCTCTTATTAGGATGCCAGAGCAAGAAGTCTCCTTAAATCATCCAGCCCAGTGGCTTCTCTGAACACCAGCCCCTGAAATGGCTACATAAGAATCCCCGGGAAGTGTTAGAGAAATACATATTCCAGGGCCCCAAAGCCCTAGGTCTGTGGAATCAGCATCTCTGAGCTGGGTCTTGGGCATGTGCGGCTTTTCCAAGCTCTCCAGGTTCTGCTGAGGTTCAGCCAGGTTCACTCCCAGCAGGGAATTTCCTAACTTCCCTGATGATTTCAGTCCCTCCCGTGAGGCTCTTTTTAAATAACACAGCTTCCCAGCCCTGTTTCCTGGACATGCTGATTCAGTGGGTCTGAGATGGGGTCTGAGGATTTGTTTTTAACAAATACCTCAGTGATTCTTATCTGGGAGTTCTGGCAAACCCTGGCACTAGTGCCCTCCTGAAGCTCAGAGACAGGAAGACTTGTCTAAAGCTACACAGCAAGTCACCCCAGCCCACCCAACCTCCTGAAGCAGGCTCTTTGAGGTGCTTCTAACCACCTCTGCCCTGCTGGCCACCAGCCCACTAGGCAACGGGGATGTCCTCAGCAGAGGGGCACACCAGTGGCGTGGCTTGGCAGGGCACAGACTGGAGGGCAGGATGGGTTTCTGCAGCCTGGGCTGGATGGAGCTCGGGCTGGGGCTTGGCTTCCCTTCCACTCCACCTGTTGCATGCATAGAGAGCCCTGGTGGGAAATCTGCAGGGCACCCAGACATTCATGTGGGTCTGAGGGTTCACTGTCATGAACAGCCTGGATTCCAGGAGCTGGGCATACACCCCGTCTGGGCAGGACCTGGGACTGGGAGAAACTGCAGATCGGCCAGTTTCCTAACTGTGCTCCTCAGAGTCTGGGAACTGCAGAAAGAGAGGGAGGCAAGACCATGGGCCCCAGGGTTCCCCTCGGGCCCCCCACAGCAGTGCTGCTCTGATATGTGATGTATTTCTTTTTTTTTTAATTTTTTATAATTTATTTTATTTTTTGTGTTGTTGAGAATATACACAGCAGAACATATGCCAATTCAACAATTTCTACATGTATAATTCAGTGACATTGATCACGTTCATCAAGTTGTACAACCATCATCTCACTTTTTTTTTCCGAATTGTTCCTCCCCCATTAACTTAATATGATGTATTTTGAAGACTAGATCTGGTGGCCAAAGAAATTTGAAAAACTTGATCTAGTTTAACCCCTTCACTTTAGCAAAGGGGAAACTGAGGCCCAGCAAGGGACAGATTGCTGAGAATGTAGAACAGTATTACTAATGAGATTGTAGCCGTTTGGAAGATTTAGGTCCCAGCCCCAACTCTGCCTCTCTCGCTGTGAGTCTTTAGGCCAGTCTCTCCAGCTCTCTGAGCCTCCTTTTGCTTTCTCATCTAGGAAATAGTCTGGAGACCTTACCACATACGTTCTCACTTGAAGGCTGCTGGCCTAAGGAACCATGGTGGAATTCAGGGGGTCCTTGAACTTGGATACGGAGCCCTGGTGGCATAACAGTTAAGCTCACAGCTGCTAAGTGAAAGGTTGGTGGTTTGAACCCACCCATTGGCTCTGCAGGAGGGAGACCAGGCGATCTGCTCCTGTAGAGATTAAAAAACAAAAACAAAAACAAAAAAAGGGGCCCTGGTGTAAAGATGAAAAACCTATGGGGCAGTTCTACTCTGTCACATGGGGTCGCTATGAGTAGAAAATTGACTCGATGGCACCTAATAACAACGACAAGGAACTTGGGTGGGAGATTACCCGCTGTTGTCAAATTGATTCCAACTCATAGCGACCCTATAGGACAGAGTAGAACTGCTCCAGAGGGTTTCCAAGGCTGTAAATCTTTACAGAAGCAGACTGCCACATCTTTCTCATACCGGAGCAGCTAATGGGTGTGAACCGCTGACCTTTTGGTTAGCAGCGAGCACTTAACCACTGTGCCACCAGGGCTCCTAGGAGAAGATTACATCTTTAATTTTCCTAACCTCTAAGTGAAATTGAGCATTTCCTTCAATTATGCACTTTAGCAACAAATCCCGGCAGCATTAGCAGTGCTTGGGGTTTGTCACCACTAGAAAAAACAAATATTTTTGCTCAAAGTAGGGTTTATGCTCATCACTGCTTCAAAGTTATCATAGTTGTTAAATTTGCTATTAGATACGTTAATAAAGGAGCACGTAATTCTACACCCTACTTTAAAAAATGTATTAAAACTTTTTTTTATTGTGGCAAATATGTATATGTAACAAAACATTTGCCATTTCAACACTTCACATGTACAGTTCCGTGACATTAATTATGTTCATCATGTTGTTCAACTGTCACCCTGACCCATTCTCAGATTCTTCCATCACCCTTAACAGAAGCTCAGTGTCCCCTAAGCATTGAGTCCTCCTTTTCCCTTCTCTCCCATCTGCCCCTGGTAACTCAAAAATATATTTTGGTAACTGTGTTTCAGTATAATCAGTTTGCTTGGTGTCTTGGTTATCTAGTGCTGCTATAACAGAAATACCACAAGTGGATGGCTTTAACAAAGAAAAATTTATTCTCTCACAGTCTAGGAGGCTAGAAGTCTGAATTCAGGGTGCCAGCTCCAGAGGAAGGCTTTCTCTCTCTGTCAGCTCTAGGGGAAGATCTTTGTCATCAGTCTTCCCCTGGTCTAGGAGCTTCTCAGGCACAGGGACCCCAGGTCCAAAGGACATGGTCTGCTCCCAGCACTACTTTCTTGGTGGTATGAGGTCCCCATGTCTCTCTGTTCACCTTTCTCTTTTATATCTCAAAAGAGATTGGCTCAAGACACAATCCAATATTGTAGATTGAGTACTGCCTCATTAACCTAACTGCCGCTAATCCCATCTCATCAGCATCATAGAGATAGGATTTACAACACACAGGAAAATCACATCAGATGACAAAATGGTGGACAATCACTCAATACCAGGAATCATGGCCCAGCCAAATTGCTACACATATTTTTGGGGGACACAATTCAATCCGTGACATTTGGTATGCCTGTGTATTTTATTTATGAATATAAAAACATTCCAAGAAGGGGTACCATGGCATGAAGAAGGTTAAGAATCTGGGCCTTACCAGAAAGTCCAAGAGGACAGGGCTACAGGGAGAGGGTTTTGCAAACTGCAAGAGCCTGAGCAGAAGTCTGCAGATTTTTTTCCAGCCCAGAACTCTTCCACATGGGAAAGAAGGAAACCAGAGCTGTTCTGTTGAAGGGGTAGGTGATAAGGGGGCGGGGGTGCCCACCTGGGTGGTCCTTCTTCATCTCCCACCTAGGAAGGCCTGGAGACACCTGAGAAACCCTCAGGCACTTGAGAGCACATTCTTAAATCCACCAGGCTAATAATAATCATAATAGTCATAATTGCCACCATGTTCAGTCAGTGGGCTATATGTGGATTAGCTCAATTCATTTAATCCTCACAAGGGTCCCAAGAGAGTTAATTCTGTTACTATCCTCATTCTGTAGATCCACTTAACAAATATTTACCAAGCAACAGCTAGTTACCAGGCACTCTTCTAGCACTTAACAATCATCAAGCAAAAGAAAACAAAGATTAGGAAGCTTCTTGCCCTCCTAGAGCTTACACTGGGGGGTGGGTAGGGAGAAAACAGACAAATGCAGAAATAGTTAGCATGTAAATAATACAGATGTCAGAACTACTGTCTTGAAAAATAAAGCAGGGAAGGGGATAGAGAGGACCAGGGAATTACGATTTTAAAATAAAGGGGTCAGAGGAAGCTTCACTGAGAGGGAGACACTTGAGCAGGGGCTTGAGGAGGTGAGGGATTTAGCCATGTAGATATCTGATGGAAGAGTGTTCCAGGCAGAGGGAACAATGGTGCAAAATCCCTGAGGCAGGAGTGTGTCTGGCCTGTTTGAGGAACAACAAGGAGGCCAGTGGGTAGAATGGAGGGAACTAGGGACAGGGTTGAGAAGTCACCGGGTGGCGCAAACTTAAGTGCTTGACTACTAGATGAAAGGTTGGCAGTTTGAACTCACCTAGAGGTGCCTTGGAAGAAAGGCCTGATGATCTGCTTCTGAAAGGTCACATCCCTGAAAGCCGTATGGAGCAATTCTACTCTGCACACACGGGGTCACCCTGAGTCTGAATTTATTCCATGGCAATTAACGACAACAAAGGGACAGGTTGAGGCAGGCAATAGTAGAAGCAGGATGACTGTTAAGAGGTTATTGCAGTAAACCAGATGGAGAAACTGAGGCCCAGAGAGACGGGCTAGTATAGTTAGTAGGTAGCACAGGATGAACCCTAGCGTCTGACCCCAGATGCTCTCTCGTGGCGGCTTCCCCTCTGGTCCATGACCACCAGCCAGGGCCCCAAGTTCGGTGCTGACCAAGGCGCCCCATGTGTTCTCGCAGGTCAAGCCTCTGAGAGCTGGGTGGCAATGGACATCGTGCACCCGGTGCGCGTGGACGCGGGAGGCTCCTTCCTGTCCTATGAGCTGTGGCCGCGCGCGCTGCGCAAGCGAGACGTGTCTGCACGGCACAACGCGCCTGCCTTCTATGAGCTGCTGTATCATGGGCGAGAGCTGCGCTTCAACCTGACCACCAACTGGCACCTGCTGGCGCCCGGCTTCGTGAGTGAGACGCGGCGGCACGGCGGCCTGGGCCGGTCCCACATCCAGGCCCGCAACCCGGCCTGCCACCTGCTCGGGGAGGTGCAGGACCCTGAACTCGAGGGCGGCCTGGCGGCCATCAGTGCTTGTGATGGCCTGGTGAGTGCACTGAGCGAAAGGGGGGGGGGGGGGGGCGGGGCAGGACTTGGCTGGGAGCCTGGGCTTTAGTGTTCACTCCTGTACAATGGGCCTGACAGACGCAGGCCTCGTCTCGGGCAGCGGTTCTCAAACTTTCACGTGAGTCGGCATCACCTGCAGGACTTACTGAAACAATTTCTGAGAGTGTAGGTCTGCGGTAGGGCCCCCAAAACATGCATTTCTGGCAATTTCCCAGATAATGCTGATGCCGCAGGTCCAGAGACCCTACTTTGAGAATCACTGTTTGTAGACTAACCAGGTCCCTGGGTAGCGCAAATGGTTTGTACTGGACTACTAACCTAACGGTAGGTGGTTGGAACCTACCTAGCGGTGCTGCGAAAGAAAGACCTGGTGATCTGCTTCCATAAAGATTATAGCTGAGAAAACCCTATGGAGCAGTTCTACTCAGGAACACACGGGGTTGCCAAGAGTTGGAAATGATTCCACACAACAGGTTTGTAGACTAAGTAACTCAGAAAGCAGCTTACCCCCTCTTTCTTTGGGGTGTTAGTTACAACTTTGTTCCTCTGCAGACCCCTTTAAGCTGCTCTTCTCTGGGATAAGCACCCTTTGCCCTTTAGCTGTTCCTCAGTGGGTGGTAAGCTACCTCTGTCAGCCCCTCTCTGTCCAGATCAGAGCTCCTGGAATAGCAGGCCTCAGCCACTGGCCTTTGGGCTGAAGGGGTATGCTGGCTGCGGCCTGCAGCCCTAATAGCCTCCCTTTGCTTGAGTGCCCTGTTACAGCAGCTTCCACCCCAGGCAGGATGGGGCCCCTTTCTTCTCTTCATATAGATGCCCAGCCCTGCCCTCCCAGCTCTGGAGGTGTTTGGGGAGGTGTAGGGGATGTGTGCACACTGTTAGCCATCAGCTGTCCCCCAGAGGCCCTCCGCTCAGAGTGCTCAGGCAAAAGCCATAGGTGGGACAGGGTCTCATGATAGGGCAGCTCATGCCAATGGCTGCAGGATGTCTGGGCCTTTGGAAGCCCGTCTGTCCTGGGCTGCAGGGGAGCGTAGGGGATACTGACACAGTGGGTAGATGGGTGGGCTGGTGTGTGGGAGCTCCGACTAGCCTGTAGAGATGATGGCCACTTGGGGTGACTTTAAGGAATCAAGGCAGTCCAAGACCCCAAGGCCTGTGCCGTGAGTGAGTTTGAGGAGGTTGCCCCATTTCCTCGGCAGACCCCGTCTCATGCCCACCTCGTTGCCACCTTCTTTGGCTCGCCTTTGGATCATATACTGAGCAAAGGCATGCTGAGCACCTGCTGGGAAAACGTCCCACCACGTGATCTCTGTGTGGTGAGGGCCGGCGAAGCACCTGTGAACTCCCTGAATCTCCTCAAATGGACAGGGTGTGAGGACCCCAGAGACTGGAGACTGCATGGGGCTTGCTGTTCCTCCAGGCATGGGAGACCTACCCCATTACTCACCACCCTCCCTCTCTCCTCCTTTGCTATGGCCACATGGACTTTCTTTCTAGCTGTATGACCTTGGGCAAGTTACACTCTCCCCACTCAGTGCTCAGTTTCCTCGTCTATAAAATGGGACTCAATAGCACCTACTGCATAGGGTGGTTGTGAGTAGTAAGTGCTGATTAGAAAGTGCCTGGCATATAGTAGCTGTTTAATATGTGTTAGCTTTTCCACACCCCAAACATGCCAAGCTCATTCCCACCTTAGGGCTTTTTGCCCAACCTGTTCCCTCTGCCTGGAATGCTCTTTTCCCAAATAGTCACCTGCCGTCTCTACATTCAGATGTCAGCTTAAATGCCACCTCCTCAGAAAGCCTTCCCTAACCACCCAGTCAAAAGTAGCTGTCCACTCATTGTCACATTCACCTGTTTAATCCTCCGTACAGCACCGTTCTTAACGGGTGCACTCCCCTAGCTCTTGGTTTCAGTTTTGCACGTGTGTACGTGTTTTTGTTTTGTTGTCTCTCCCTCACAGACACCTTGGGAAGAAGCAGTCTGGCTCCATAGCCCATGCTCTTAACTACTTGCCACAGCTGCCATGATAATACCACAAAGCATTCTGATTTGTGGAGCCTATGCCCGTCCCTTTACATACAGATAATCTTGCTGAGCCTCTTGCAGCAGCCACTCATATGGGACACCGTGCCCATTTTACAGATGAGGAAACAAGCTCAGGGAGGAACTTGCCTGAGGTCACCCAGCTATCCAGTGGTGGAGTCTGCACTGAAACCCAGGTCTCCAGACCCTGAAACCCCAGCACTCCAGTCCCCCTTGCTCAGCATAACCCAAGGGGCAGAATTGCTGCCAATGAGGGGAAGTCTGAGGGAGCGAAATCTTTCTTCCCTGTTGGAGCTATTCAGTAGTGGTCTAAGCTTCCTCAGAAGTTGGTGGGCTGTCCAGAGGTCATTCTCCAGGATCCTCCCTTCCCTGGACTCTCTGGAGGCCGAGTGGGCATGCCTGAGGCCCCCTGCCATCTTCCCTTCTCTGGCAGGCCCTGGGTCCAGGGAACAGGATGCCCCAGTCGTCGTGAGCATCTCTATGGCTTGGGTGAGGGTGGAGCTGCTTTTGGAGTGATATATTACCTCAGGGAAACTGAGGGCAGGTCAGAAGTGTGGGCTAGTCAGAAGAGGGCACAGTGGCTGGAATTGTCTGGCATGTGAAGGAGATGCAAATTGGCCTGGAGGCCGGGGCTGTCGGCTGTCTGGGACTGTTTGGAAGACACCATCTTGTTAGATTTGGTCGCAGACCCACTTCTCGCTTCCTGGGGGCTATGGCCTCTGACCTGAGCTTTGAAACCTTTGGCTATGTGAAGATGGCGAGGAAAGACGTTCCAGGCAGAGGGTTTAGAGTGGGCAAGGCCCAGAGGGAGGAAAGCATGGTGTGTCAGGGGTCAGTCAAGGGTGATGGGAGCAGTGTGGGCACAGCTGGGCAGGAGGGGCCTCGGGGACGGGCAGAAGAGCCCTGAGTGCTGCCTCCCTGTGTGGCCCTGGTGCTTCTTCCCCAGAAAGGTGTGTTCCAGCTCTCCAACGAGGACTACTTCATTGAGCCTCTGAATGGAGCCCCAGCCCGGCCTGGCCAGGCCCAGCCCCATGTGGTATACAAGCGCCAAGCCACTGAGAGGCAGGCAGAGAGGGGTGCCTCCAGGGCTGCGGGCACCTGTGGGGTGCAAGGTACTGCCCTCTGCTGCCAGCTCCTGGGTAGGGGGTGGGCTCAGGGGGGATGGTGGGCCCCTTCTAGAAGCCTCTCTCAACATCACCCTGCCCAGCTCCCCTTGGAGCAATGGGACACAGACAGACCGACACTTCGCCACAGCTCTTGCCTTCCAGCTGTGCCACAGGCCTGCAGCCTCTGCCCGTCAGGCCTGCCTCACTCCAACCTCCCCACTTCTGGGCTCAGTCTCCCCCTGCCTCCCTCCAGCTTACTGCCTGTGACACCCCCAGCCCTGCCAATCATTCTTCCTCAAGTGTCCAGGCAAGGCCAGACTGTACCTAGCCCCAGGAGAGCGACTAGCCAGGAACCTCCTTCCCCTCCCCAGCCTGCTCCCACCCCAGAATAACTGACCTCGGTGAGCCTGGCGGGGAACCTAGCACTTCCTCTGCAGAGCGACCATAGCAGCGGCCAGTCTGCCCCAGAGAGAGCTTGCTGAAGAAGGCCCTTGAGATATGAGTTCTGGGCTAGCCCTGCCAGCAGCTAACCCCTTCCCCATCTGGGCCCACAGCGTCCCCAGAGCTGGAGTCTTGGCGGGAGCGCTGGGAGCAGCGGCAGCAGTGGCGGCGGCGGCGGCGGCCAAGGCGTCTGTACCAGCGCTCGGTCAGCAAGGAGAAGTGGGTGGAGACTCTAGTGGTAGCTGACGCCAAAATGGTGGAGTACCACGGGCAGCCGAATGTTGAGAACTACGTGCTGACCATCATGAATATGGTGAGGTGGCTGCAGGTGGTGGGCAAGGCGTGGGTGGCAAAGGCTGGGAGGGGTGGGGTGGGAGTGCAAAGGGTGAGTTGAAGGCAGGAAGTCTGACAGGCTGGGACCCAGACCCAGACCCAGGCCCAGACCCAAAGCAGGAGGAAGTGTCTTTAAGCTCCAGGGTCCAGGAAGGGGTGGGGGGGCCTGGCAGCAAGCCCCTAGGAGTGGGACCTGCAGGGCTACTGTGGGGACACCATTGGGTTTCATGCCACCTCATTGGCTCAGTGGTATTTGATAGGCAGCCTCTACCCACTGCCAGGACCAGAGCTGGGCTGGGGGGAATGGAGGCAGCCACAACTCTGTGCCTGCCTGGGAGAGCTCACAGACTGGGTGGTTCATTCATACTGCCCTGAGCAAACTCCTTCCTCCTCTGTGCCACGACCTCCACCGGGCACTGGGGACACAGAAATGCCGGTCGGAACAGCCCCCGCCTGGGACATCAGCACACATTAGAGTTACTAGCTTGTGACTGTGGGCAAGTTACTCTACCTGTCTGAGCCTCAGCTTACCTATCTTGGAACTGGGGATGACCCCACATGCCAGTCGTGATAACTGAGGCCCAGAGAAGGTGAGTGCCTTGTCCAGGTCACACAGCGAGGCAGGAACAGAGGCGGACAGGAGCCCAGGTCTCCTAAGTCCCACTTGGGGCACTCAGCTGATTGGAACTGGTGATTCCCAGAGGTGCTAGCCTTTCTCTCCCTGCTATCTGTCCTGAGTTTGCAGAGGAGGCCTCAGCTGCCAAGCTGCTTCTTGCAGCCCCTGGAGGAAAGATCTCTGCCTGGGCATTCTTAGCAGGCCATCCAGTGGGGAGGCCATCACACAAGCCTGGTTCTGCCCTGGGCTGGGTGGTTGGGGACAAGGGTGAGAGGTGTGTGCTCTGAAGCTGGGTGATATCTAAGGGGAGCCCTGAGGTCTGTGTCATATGCCAGGGCAGATTATCCAGTGAGCAAGGTAAGCACGGGTTTACTTTTGCTTACTTACTAATCTGCGCTGACCAATTTCACATGAGTTTCATAGGGATTGAATATTTGAAAAGAAGCTTTGATTCTGTAGGAAGGTGCTGTTGGGGAGAGAGACAGATGCCAGCCATACCTAGAAGCAGAGTCTTTGATGTGGTGAAAAAATGTGAAATTGTTCACTACAGGTGATCTGGTAAGCAGGGTAAGCACCATGCTTACCTTGCCTATTGGATAATCTGCCCCTGGTCACATGCTGCTGCTTCCCCCATGCCAGTCCCTCACCTCCTACATCCCTAAAGGAAATGCCTTCTGACATCATTTGAATCCAGCCACCCGTTTTATAGCTAGGAAGCATGAGGCTCAGAGACAAGAAGTGGCTCTGTTCATGGTTGTTCTCTCTACGAGCTGGCCATCACACCCCTACTGCTTGAGTCCTTATCTGCAAGCTCAGCTCTGGGTCAATCCTTCCCTGACTCAGCCGCCATCGCTGGCTCCTTGTTCCTTATAAAATAGAAGCCACAGCCCTGAACCTAGCATTCAAGGGTTCAAAGGCCCAGCTCAGGCCTCTCTGTTCAGTCTTGTCTGCCTGGGGAGGGAACCACTAACAGTCAGGGTTCTGGGGGACTGTTGCTGGACAGCAGGGCTTGGCCGCTAGGTTGAGGGCAGGGGAGAAGGCCAGGTTCCCAGGCCCTAAGGTCTTGTCCTTCTTCTTCTCACTTCTCAAGAGGGCTCAGCCTGAAAGAGGCCCTGGAGTGGTCTGGAGCCACCGATGTTTAACTGGGTTCATTTCATTCATTTCACCTCTGCTTTCTTAGTGTTTCTTGTGGGCCAGGAACTGGGCAGAGTAAGACCTACCCAGCCCTGTGGGCTTCCTCATGACATCCCCTGGGTGCTTGTGGTCACCTGTGACTCCCAGATCTTAACTTTCTACTCAACCCTGGCTTGCTCTCCATACCTGCACCAGAACAGGGCTCTCTTTCCCCGGATATCATTTGTCTAGTTGAAACACCCCACACTGACTCAGGCCATTAACAAACACTTCTTAGTTAAGTTGATCAACTGATTACAACTCCCTCTCCCTCCAGTGTCTCTCAGTACCTATTTTGCCCCCATACTTCCTGGGAGACAGTGAGAAGTGTTATATATGCTGAGGGAGGGGAACTAAGCTGCCCCTAGCCCTAACTCAGGATGCAGGGTGGGTCATTTGCTGGGGCAAGTCTTAGTGGACCCTCAGGGGCTTCTTGTCCTCCAAAGCCACTTTGCTGGGGGCTGATGCCAAGTTCACCTGTCTGTAGTCTAGGAAAGACTTGTTCTTTTAATCTGACTTTCTGCAGGGTACTTTTCTCATTTTCCACTGTTCTTTTCAATGAATAATGCATTGGAAATAACCAGTACAGTGCCCAAGATTCATGTGTTCATTCAACAAATATGTCTTGAGTGCCCTGCATGGGCTGGACACTCGGCTGAGCACTGGGGCTATAAGAAGGAGTCCAAACCCAGCCCTCAGGGAGCTCACAGTTGGGCAGGGAGACAGAAATTAATCAAACCATCACCCCATGAACGTAAAGGTACCATTGACATGGGTGCTGGGAGTGTCGAGTGGAATAACGGCTCCCAGAGGACATGAGGGGAGGCTACAGCTGGAGAGGGAGTAGAAGATAACTTAAGGCTGAGGGGAGGGAAAATTCTCCAGGCTGAAGACATTGCATCTGCAAAGGCCCTGTGGTAGGAAGACACGGGATTCTTAGAGAAAGCCAGAGTCGGGAGTGTGGGTATGAGGTGAGGCCAGAGAGACAGGCAGGGGCCAGACCATGTGGGCCTGTTGGCCAGGCCAGGGACATTTGTCTTTACCAAGTGGCCAATGAAGAGCCGCTCAGTTGCTTTAAGCAAGGGCATGGTGAGATTGAGTTTGTATTTCAAAGACAGATGAATGGAGCTGCTAGGCCTGGAGGGGCCACAGATTACGCGGGGAGACCCGCTAGACAGTGACAGCTGGCCAGAAGAGATGATGTCGTCTTGGACTGGGCAGTGGTGGTGGGGATGGAGAGAAGAGACGGATTTAGGCAAAATTTAGGAGGCAACCCTGGTTGGATGTGGGGGAGAGGTGGCAGAGGGGCTTCCGGGTGGCAGCCTGTGCATGGAGGCCGGTGGTGGCACACTGCATTGCTGATCGGCACCATTTCTGGGTTCTGGAAGTGCATCTACCCCCATTATCAGGGGTGTGGTGCCCTCTGAGCAGCGTTTGTTTCATCCATTCCTACCTGAATGTTATTTTTCTTGATGGAATTGCTAGAAGCCTGCCCTGCTGTCTCTGCCCTCTGAAACTTGACACCTGTCCCCTGTCATGGGCTGGCCTCTTGTTCTGAGCTGATAGCTTTGAAAGAGCTGATAGCTTTCCAATTTCCAAGGCCTATTTCCCCGCACCTGGCCCACCTTCCATCTTTGGGGGTAGACTGGGGCTCAGCAGAGAGCTCCCCATGTAGCCATGGGGCCTCTGACACATGTCCCCTTGGCCCCATGGTTTTGTGCCCAGGTGCCAGAGCCTCCGGAAGATGGAGTAGCAGAGCAGTGAGGAAGCTCCATGGGCCTGAGTCTACCCACACCCCTCACCCCCAGGCTATCCCCAGTGCAGGAGGGAGTGGCAGTAGGCGGAACTAGGACTCTGAGATGGGCCAAGCAGGCAGCCTCGGGAGGGCTGAGCTGCCATTGCTGGGCTTGGTGGCGTGGGGGCTGGTACTTCGAAGCAGGTCCAAACTGGTGCTCAGGACAAGCGGCAGGCCCGGGAGGGGCCAGGAGGCCTCCTTGTCCTCCCGATTCTGCTGCTGCTGGGCCAGAGAAGTGTGTGTGCTGAGGTGGGGCACATTCAGTGTGGGTGTGTGTGCATGAACGATCCCACGTGTGCAGCTTTGTGTGCATGCAGGTGTGCATCCATCCAGGTGGGTTAGGGGTGGGCACTGGCTGCCTGTGTGCCATATCCCGAGTGACAGCCTGACCCCCATCTCTTGGGTAGGTGGCCGGCCTGTTTCACGACCCTAGCATCGGGAACCCCATCCACATCACCATCGTGCGCCTGGTCCTGCTGGAAGACGAGGAGGTCAGAGGTCGTGTGGCCCCCCTTGCCCCATGTGGAAGGGCACAGCAAGGGCCTCCTTGGCCTGAGCAGTGTCACTCGTCACGCCCCAGTCCCTGGCTGACCCTCCCTCAGGTCCCCTCCAGGAGGGTTTTCTGGAGTGGTGGTCAGGCTGCTTGTCCTCCCACTACCCCCTCTGGGCCTCTGTCTCCCTCCTTTGGACGGAGGAGAATTGGACCTGACCCTCTTGGAGCTCAGGGAAGGAGTGAGGAAGTAGATTGCCAGGCCTTTCTTCCGAAGCGCCTCTAGGTGGACTTGAACCTCCAACCTTTTGGTTAGCAGCCGAGTGTGTTAACCATTTGTACCACCCGGGGACTCCCTTTCTGCCCCCAGGAGGACCTAAAGATCACACACCACGCAGACAACACTCTGACGAGCTTCTGCAAGTGGCAGAAGAGTATCAACATGAAGGGAGATGCCCACCCCCTGCACCACGACACCGCCATCCTGCTCACCAGGTACTGCCAGCCACCCAGGGGCCTGAGGGCAGGGGGAGGAGAGCCCATCTGAAGGAGGTGTGCCTTACCCTCAGGGAGAGGCCCCGATTTGGGGAGAGACGCGGCTCTGCTCTCAGGGAGCCCCATTTTGAGGAGAGTTTGGGCACCTTTGGCCCAAGGCTGGATCTCATCAGAACTTGAGCAGGTCTGCTCTGGCCGTTACAGAATTATTGTTGTCACGTGCTGTGGAGTCAGTTTTGATTCATAGCGACCCCATGTGACAGAGTACAACTGCCCCGTAGGGTTTTCTAGGCTGAAATCTTTATAGGAGCAGATCGCCAGGTCTTTTTCCTACAGAGTGCCTAGTGGGTTTGAACTCCCGACCTTCTGGTTAGCAGCTTAGTGCTTGCCCATTGCGCCACTAGTGTTCTTTCTTACAGAATTAGTATTTTTAAACTCCAGGTGGAATTATTTTTCCTCTGCTGGGCTCTGGCAGCTTCTATCAGCACCCTCACTGGGATAGTGACCAAAATTGTCCGTGCATGGGTCAAGTAGGCGTTGGTGGGTTGTGTGTGAGTGAGGGTACATGCTCCCTGGTGGCCGCTGTGCTATGGCCCTGGGTCATGGAGTGAGCAGCGGCGGGGCGGGGGGGGGGGGGCAGCTTTACCATCCTTTGGGGTCAGGTCAGCCTGAGAGCCCGTTTCTCTCCGTGTGTGCAGGAAAGACCTGTGTGCGGCCATGAACCGGCCCTGCGAGACCCTGGGCCTGTCCCACGTGGCGGGCATGTGCCAGCCACACCGCAGCTGCAACATCAACGAGGACACGGGCCTGCCCCTGGCCTTCACCGTGGCCCATGAACTCGGGCACAGGTACTTTGCCCACCCCCACTGCCACTCCAAGAACCCAGCTTCACCTTCCCAACCTGGGGTGCAGGGCAGCCAGGCCCGTGAGCCACAAGATCCTGGGGAAGGGAAACTGCCTGGGAGAGGGAGCCCCGACTTGGCCTGGCCCTGTGCTGTCCCCACACTATCCTTCCCCCCGTGACCGGGGCTGCTTCCCTGTTGAACATGAGAGAGGCTGGTGCCTCTCTGGGGCTGGCCTGGCACAAGTCTTATCTGATGGGGGTGCTAGGATGGGCCATAAAGTCACCATAGGTCTCTGGTGACCCTTCCCCTTGGCCCTCTGCTTGCATTTTTAACTCTCGGTCCCCTCTACCTAATCCCACTTGCTGTGTACCCTTGGGCTAGTGTCCTGCCCTCTCTGGGCCTCTGTGCGCTCCCTGTAGGTTGAGGGGGTTGGCTTCAGTGATGTCCAAGGCCGTCTTTCTCTGACACCCTCTGCCGGAGGCTCTCATGTCTCAGCACGGCCCGTGCCATCATCTTCTGTGCCTGGGCAGGTGGCGGGTTCCTGTTTAGCTGGTGAATACGACAGCATCTTAGACTGTCTGGCAAGCCAGTGAGAGTCAGAGGTGTTGGGATCATCCACCCAGACACTGGGTTCCCTGGGTTATAGCCAAGCACGCAGGGCCTTGAGGCCACCCATGGGGGTGAAAAGAACCCTCTGCCCCAGTCCTGCCATTCCCTGCTGTGTTACCCGGGCTAGTTCCTGAGCCTCTCTGAGCCTCTCTGGGGATAATAATGCCTCCCCGGGAAGTCTGAGTACTGAGCAAGACAGTGTTTGTGAGAGGGCTTAGCCTGGCGCCTGGCCCATAGCAGGTGCTCAGGAGATGGGAGTTTTCCCGTGTCCCTCCCAAAGATGCTTTATCAAGAACTTTCTGTGGTGCAGTAGGACCTCCTTTGCTTGACTCAAGTACATAGTTTTAGGACAAAGACCTGGACATGGGGGGACCTCTGTCAGCCTGTTCCTGGTGCCAGTGAGGTTGCCGGGCTGTGATGGGCTGCCACCCTTGGCTCGCCATCACTGGCTGGCTCCGGCGCAGGAACAGGGCTGCCTTGGGGCATTCAGGCTCGGGCTGGTGTGCCTGGAGGAGGACCCCACGGAATTCCAGCTATCACACGCATATTTGAGATTAAGGAACCTGGTCACAGAGAGGGGATGTGACTTGCCCAAGCCTACACAGTCACTTGGTGGCAGGGCTAGCCCCAGGAGCCAGGACCTTGCAGGCCTCTGGGGTGGGGGCAGGCTGGCAGCCTCCCTCCGGCTCACCCGCCCCTGGGGCCTGTGTCTCACGCAGTTTTGGCATTCAGCATGACGGAAGCGGCAATGACTGTGAGCCTGTTGGGAAACAGCCTTTCATCATGTCTCCACAGCTCCTGTACGACGCCGTTCCCCTCACCTGGTCCCGCTGCAGCCGCGAGTACATCACCAGGTTCCTCGAGTAAGTCCCCCCTAGCCCTGGAGACCCAGTCCTCGTCCGTGACGTCAAGGTCTAGTGGGGGAGATGCGGACAGTGATATTACAGCCCCAGGGTAGAGGGGCACCCAATACAGATGGGAGCCTGGGGTCCCCGACGTCCTCCCAGGAAGGACACCTGAGCTAAATCTTGGAACATGAGTAAGGGTTCCCAGAGATAGCGAAGGGAGAAGAGAGGTGTTCCTGGTAGAGGAAACACAAATGAAGGCCTGGAGACAGGAAAGAGAAACAGTGTTCACTGAGGTTATGCGAACCGAGGCTGGACAGGAAATGAAGCTGGAGGAGGTGCAGGCTGGCTACATAATTTGTGGGGTCCAGTGAAAAGCAAAGGAGCCCTGGTGGCACAGTGGTTAAGCACTTGACTGCTAACTGATAGGCTGGCAGCTCGAACTCACCCGGCGACTCCGTGGGTGAAAGACCTGGCGACCTGCTTCCGTAAAGATTACAGCCTAGAAAACCCTATGGGGCAATTCCACTCTGTCACAGGGGGTCGCTATGAGTTGAAATCGACTCAGTGGCACCTAACAGTGAAAAGCAGGGGAATAAGTACCCTGGAAAGTACTAAAGTATGAAGCTTTTTCCGTTCTTCTACATTGTCTCTATTTGTCATGGTGTTTTTTATTTGCTACTTAATGTTGTCCTAGGTAAAGAGAAATTAGAAATTTAAGTTATTAGCATAAATTTTACCATTCATCTTTATTTTGTGTACTGCTAGTTTTAAATGCAAATAAAAGAACATTTAACTCATATACGGAATCACTGAAATGACACAGTCATATTTCATAGCTCGTACTGACTAGACCAATGCAAATGCTGCACAAAATTAACTCAGCTGGTTTTATTTTACTCCTTGATATGCCACATTCTCCCAACACTCTCTACTGTTGCCTTACTGTTGAGTAAGGAAGGAGTAGAGGTAAAGAGCTATGCTTGCCCTACCTGTCCCTTTCCTTCTATCTCGTAATTTTTCAGTGTAAGTGGTTGGCTAATACAGGGAAGTAACACGAATAAGAAAGGATGACAGAGTTCCCTGGTTGTTGGTATTTCTTAGAATGTCATTGCCTTCTTTCTGCATATGAAGCAAATTCTGGTTCAAATGGAAAGTGTGGCCTCTGGGGCTGTCAGCGTTCGTTCTTACTCAGTTGTAGACAAAACACTCTTACTTTGTACTTTCTTTGAGTCTCTGAGTCTCCTACATGTTGTGCGTCCACTAGGATTCTGTGCTCACGAGGCAAAGCAAATGCTAGATGCAAATGGCGCAGCAAAGAACAGCAGACACACATTGTGCACATGTCCTCTGCCCACGTGCCTGCTCCTTGTCCCATCAGGCCTGTCTTTGTCTTCTAGTGCTGCTATAACAGAAATACCACAAGTGGATGGCTTCAACAAACAGGAGTTTATTCTCTCACAGTCTAGTAGGTTAGAATTCCAAATTCAGGTTGTCAATTCCAGGGGAAGGCTTTCTCTCTGTGTCGGCTCTGGAGGAAGGTCTTTGTCATCAATTTTCCCCAGGACTAGGAGCTTCTCAGCTCAGGGACCCCAGGTCCAAAGGACATACTCTTCTCCTGGCATTACTTTCTTGGTGGTATGAGGTCCCCCTGTCTCTGTGCTTGCTTCTCTTTTATGTCTCAAGAGATTGGCTTAAGATACAATCTAATCTTGTAGATTGAGTCCTGTCTCATTAATATAACTCCCACTAATCCCATCTCATTATCTTCATAGAGATAGGATTTACAACACATAGAAAAATCACATCAGATGACAAAATGGTAGACAGTCAAACAGTACTGGGAATCATGGCCTAGCCAAATTGATACACATGTTTTTGGGGGACACAATTCAGTCTATGACAAGGCCTCATTTGCAAAATACAGGTTCAAAGATAATATTATTAAGAATTTCAAGATGGCAATAGCAGAGCATTAAATAACCTTCCCCACCCCTCCGCACTCTCCATTATTTTTCTCTAGGCAGCCACTTTCAACTTTAACTCTTTTAGCTTTTTCTTATGTTATGTACTTTTATATTTCCAAAAAGCATTCCTGGAATGCTGTTTCTTGATTTTTCAGTTTAGATATTATTTGTTGATTCATACAATGGATTTAGCTCCCTTGCATTACCTTCTGCACACACATTTGTCCTCCCTGCCACATCCCAATATAGTGTTAACGTATTTGATTAGGTCCATATTCAGTGTTTTCATTATTATGACTGTGTAAACCTTCTTTATTGTTGGTTGAACCAAGTGTTGTAACAAGATGACATTTTCTTTTTAAGGATAATGTTTTTCTTTGCCTGTCTGGCTAAGTCTCCTGTATTCTTCAATGGTTTCTATAAAATGTCTTATAATCCAGTTTTCCAGAAGGTAATTCCTGCCAGATAATGTAACAGTTCCCTTTTTTTCCCCTGGACCTCTCCCCGCCAACCCCCCTGCCCAACTTCCCTTTGTCCTCTAGTCTAAACTGTATGCTTTCTAGACCTGCCCTCAAATTATTATGCAGGGCCTTTCTGTTTCTGGATCCTATGCTACTTTTTTCTGGGGTGGGGGTGGGGGTATACTCCCTTGTTTTGGTGGAGCACATCCTGAAGTAACTTTCTGAGAAAGAATGCATGGAGATAAATGGTTTGCATGTCTGAAAGTGTTTTATTCTTCCCTCATACCTAATAATTTGATTTGATATTGACTTTTAGGTTAGAAGTCACTCTCCCTCAGAATTTTAAAGGCATTTTTCTATTGTCTTTTAGCTTCCAACATTGCTGTTGAGAAGTCTCATACCATTCTGATTCCCAAGGCTTTGTGTATGAGCTTTTAAAAAATCTGGAAGCTTTTAGAAGTCTCTCTCTCTTTGAAATTTTACAAGTATGTGCCTTGGTCTATTTTTATGTATTATCTTGGGCACTTGGTAGACCCTTTTAATGTAGAAACTCATGTTATTCAGGTTTCAGAAATGGCCTTGTATTATTTATTTGGAAATTCTCCCTTCTATTTTCTCTTTCTGGAATCCTTAGTATTCAGCTGTCCTTTCATTTTCTTATTTTTTAAAGCTTTTTTTTTAATCTCTATTTTCTGAGAGACATCCTTATCTTTACCTTACAGCCCTTCTGTTAAATTAAAATAAATTTTTTTCTAGTTTACTTTTAAATTCTTAAACTTTCTTATTCTCTAAGTACTTTTTATTATCATGTTCTTGTTTCATGGGTGCAGTATCTTATCTTACTGAGGTTTTATTTTTTTCTTTTGCTCCCTGTTATATCTTTCTCTTCCTTTGAGGTTTTTTTTTTTTTAAAAAATGTATTTCTTTCATGTTAAAGGTTTTCTTAAAATGTCTTGTCTGCGTTTCATATATGGGAAGGAGGCACTGAGACACCAATTAGAAAGTCTGTGGACTTGTGCAGGTCTTCTCTGAGTCACTGCTGAGGGATTGGGCTAGGACAGGGCTATTTCTTTGGGAGATCTTTAAGTATCAGTATCTGAGGTATTTGTTTCTGGTGATTCTGTTTCCCTGCAGAGGAATCTTCTAATCTTTTACTGGAAGGGTGTAAGCCTGGCTATAGCATTCTGGCATCCAGATGGGGAAGAGGCTTGGTGGGTGTCTCACCATTCATTGTGTAGACTTTCATTTGTCCACCTTTTCTCTGTAGGCCCTTTTACTTCAGAGCCTCAACTGTGTCTCGTGTCCCCAGGTCAGATCCTCCTGGTCTGCCCTCTTCAGGGAGTGATCCCCAGCCCTCTGCCAGGCAGGGAGCTGGTATCACCTGGTCATGCAGAGCTGCGGAGGGAATTTAGGGTCTGACCAGTTCTTACACAGACTTTCAGTGACACTCCTGTCCTCTTACATAGGCTTTCAGCGACACTCTTGTCCTCAGCTCTACTGATACCCAGACCCACAGGCCCCTCTGGCACCCTAAATCCTGAGCCTTTCCAGTGTTCTGCCTCAGGCACTTGGTTCTCAGCCTTCTCCATTCTGCCAAGTCAGTTTCCATCTATTTTCCAGCTTCTGGAATTTTGTTGACATCTTTCATCTGCCATCATCACCCCTCCCTTACCCTTTGTCCCTATGGATTTATGCCTTGTTTATTCCTTTACTGTTATCATAGTGGGGTTTGGGTAGGGAATGGAGATAAATCTGTCTGCTGCATGTACCATGTTTTTCTAGAAATATTCTCACTGTAGAGTTTAAGCAAGGACGTGATTAGGTCCATTATGAATGTAAGAGCAAGGACTCCAGCTCTTACAGAGCCTAGGAAAGGGATTTCTGGGGTGGGGAGTGGGGTTGGAAGCAGGGAGGCTTAGTTTGCTGGTTAAGAACCTGGACTCTGGCTCAGGCTTCCTCCCGTGCTGGCCGGACAAGTTACATCAGCCCTTAAGCCTGAAGAAATGGGGACAATGATGGGACTGCCTCATGGGTTTGCTATGAGGTCTAAATGAGAAAACATGAATATTTAGCACAGTGCCTACCACGTGGTAAGCATTCAATACATGGTAATTATTGTTATTGCTATTTCCCCTACTACCAAGTGATATATGATATGGACCCAAACCAGGGAAGTGGCCATGGGGATGGAGAAAACCCACTGCCTTCGAGTTGATTGGACTCATAGCGACCCTATAGAACATAGTAGAACTGCCCCATAGGGTTTCCAAGGAGAAGCTGGTGGATTCCCACTGCCAGTCTTTTGGTTATCAGCCGAGTTCTTTCTAGTCTTTGACCATGCCATGCCCTATCTCACCAGTGGGAACGAAGAGGAGGGTTGGAAAAAGTCCCAAGGGTGTGTCTCCTTCCCTAGAGAGGGGCTGGAAAATCAGAACAGTAGCTTCCCGCACAGCACCCCCAGGGCTTGTTCCCTGTGCCAGCTTCCTAGAGGCCCCCACCCAGGGTGCCACCCACCACCCTGGCTTCAAGACAGACAGACAGATGAGGCTCTGTCCTCATTCAGCTGCTGGAATGCATGATGGACTTGGCT